TGTTTGGTACTCACCTGTCTGTGACCGGACGTGCCTCGTAGGAGTAGCGGCGCTAGACACGCAAGTACCCGGGGCCCTGTACGCCGAGCTAGACCTGGACGGGTTTGGAGGGTCTGACTCTCCCGTCTCAACGGGCACATTATTCGCGTCGCCCCTGTTGCCAGGGAAGAAGAAGTCGAAGAGATCATTCACGCGGGTAGAACCTTCGCGTGAATCGGCCGGTGGATCTTCGCGCTCCGCACCCGCGGCTATTTCCTCAATCTGCATCCTCTCCCAGCTACTAGGTACCGAGTGTGCACCATCTACATTCCCCCCTGCTGATATCGTGGGCTGTTCATGGTTCACAGGTCCCGTAATTGACTGCGTAGCCCCCGCGACTCCATCCTCCGTTTCGTCATCAGATGAGTCTACCACCGGCTATCGGCCATTACCGGTGTGTGGCTCGGGTGTAACAGTCACAATGACGGTTTTATCTCGACTAATGTCGGCACCCGCGTTTATATCACCACACGCTGGCGGTCCCTGCATACGAGTGCCATCTCGATCAAAGCTACCACCCAGTAGCTTGTTGATGTGACGCGCCGCTACCTCTGTGTCGTTGCTGCTAGGGGAGGCCATACCGGGAATAAGGTTAGGGTTTGAACGAATAGCCACACAGTGCTAAATGACTCCTTGTATCTGCCTCCCAAACACCGAAGCCACTTCGGAAGCCATTTCCGTCAGCGACATCGCCGCCAAAATCTCGCCATTTGACGTTGTACACCCGATTGATTTACGGTGTGTGTTACACGACGTGTACAAAGAAGCTCGATAGTGTGAACGGCCCTGAAAACTTTTAAGGTTTGATGTTTACATGATACATCAGATCTCAAACTGGTTACATCTACAAGTATTTCAACGTTTCTACGACACAGTCTAATCCCGTTCCGTAACAACCTATGCCCACGCGCCGATAAGTCAAAAGGCCCTGTCTACCGGGTGGCGTTATACTTTACTAGGCGAACGTAGGCATTATCAATAGTCTTGGATGAGGTGCCTGTCATGGACTCTTCTTGCATGGGCTTAGTAGATACCTTGGACCACCAAGGTATCATCCCCAGAGCACGACTGAGATCCCCGATGCGCCCTCCTTCGTCCATGTCCTTCCACTCCTTGGGCCTGTGCACCTGAAACATGCTTCATCTGGGTTTAGCGTAGGACATGCAGGCACCACAACACACACCGTCCTTTGTAAGGCCATCAACGAAACAACATATACGACTTACAATGGACGAGGTGCCACCTCCTGTGCATATGTCTCTTGAGTGAGGTGCCGAAATCCTGGACCCATCGGACCGATGTCTCTCCTCCTGCACACCAGATAAACATCCCACACCTTTCAATGGCCATCAGAAACACACCCAGTCGGCACGCCAACGATCCTCACCTCATATCCCATCGCCCTTGCCTCGGCCATTAGAACGACTCTGTAGTCAAATGTCGGTAACTCCGGCAGTATGACATCCTCGAGGCTTGTTGCGCTGTGATTTACAAGTATGTAATCCGCTATTGACGTCATAAACCGTCGACCTTTGGCACGTGTAATGCTCGACTCCGACTCGTCCGAATACGTGGCGTATATGAGCCTCAGGTACATGAATGGTGTGGGTGCATCGGGTGTTATTGCAAGAGACGCACGGGCTTCTGAAATCGTGCGCGCCCTGTGCTGTCTAGGACTGCGCCTTCCACTACCCAGGAATGGGTCCTGAGACCTCAGAATCGTGGCCGCGCTAAGGGTCTCACCTCGTTGTGACATTATGGCACCCTGCACCTCCATTATGGCGTAGGCTACAGTGGGCTTAGACCGTATGAAATAACCCCGGATGTTGCGCCGACGAGGCTCCAGCACGTCGCGCGCTTTACAACGCGTTGCGCTCATCATGCCACTACCAACTTAAATCAGTAACATTAGGCGGACGTTAGGGTTTTGTAAGTGTCCGTCCTACGGGAATCGAGGAACGGGCTGCTGGGACGATAGGAAGTGGTGTGGAGTGGTTTGTGGAGTGTTGGCACGCTTTCATGGTCAACTGGGTGTACCGAGCACAAACTGCAAAATTAGTTCGCGCTTTCTTCAGATTGTGCCATATCGGGGAGGTGAACATCATACTCGCTCTCGGATTGAGCGTGGAAATCCCTATATCCCCAACGTGAACAATCTCGTTACGTACACAATGATTGACGATGTGCGTATTATTCGACAAATACAACGGTTATTGAGATCAATACAACCATCAGTTACTACATCCCATACTCAATATCCCCATGCACGCTAGACAGGGATGCCGTTCGGGAGTTGAAGCATATCTCCTCACTGGCCGTGGAAGACATGGACGAGGAAGGCGCGTATGAATGCCTCCTAACCTTCTTCTCTGGTGTGCGCAGCAGTCGGTCAACGAGGTCCGGGTTCCCCAAGCGCTTAAGCGTGGCAACGACACTCGGAGCTACTCCCGTCGCGCTAGCAAGCCTTGTGTACGCATCAGATTCCATACGCATGAATCGGCGGCGAGTCCTGTCGTCCCATGAGACGCGGCCGACACTGCTTGAATCATCAATCCGACGGATGACCGGCTCAAGAACACGTTCGGCCGTATCCTCGTCCATGGTGTCATCCCAAGTTGCAGAGTCCAATGCTTCCATCACGCAGTCGGGGATGTCCAACTGGTCCAGCCTCCTCTGCAGGCCCGTGAGGCTAGCGACGAGCTGCTCCACAACCTCTACATGCAGGTCGCGGTTGATCGCATGAAGCCGAGGCAGCCACTCGTCCGGGACGCACCCAGTGCGCCAAAATGCGAGCTGAATGTGAGATGTCGCCACCCCCCACAGTGCCTGGTATGTCCACTGCAACGTGTTCGCGGCCGATGGAGAGTTGCTGGTCCACACCCAAGCTGGAGGCACGCGCCTCATGAAGCGAGTCTGGTGGTCCCCCCATATTGTGCGGAATTCGTACCTGAAGAACGTGACAATGCCCTGCACGACGGGGTTCCCCACGTCTGGTACAGTATCATGAATCTGCACAATGCGAGTATGGGTTAGGTGGTGCACCATGAAGGGCCCACTCGGCTCTCGCTTGCCCTCTCCCCAAGTTGTGCCTACGCGAGGACACAAGGACGACGATGTCACGGTCCTCTGCAAATTTCGCAGCGTTGAGGCCTAGCATGAACTGCGTGAAAAGCTGCACGTAACAACATAGAGTATCACAGAGACATATATTGAGCACCAACGTCTTGAGTCCATATATAGGAGACATTTTTGCGTGTCATCTCTAGTACATTTCGCCATTACCTGGGGGGTTATGCGGCCGGACCGAGTACGGCGGATATATGCCCACACGTCGCTACTGACATCGTGGCCCAGCCTCAGTGGCTCCCGATCGGGGCTCACCACAATGGGCCTGAAGCGATGCGCGCCGTCTGCGGAATAGAGAAGGCCGATAGACAGCCTCTTCATATCATTCCCATTGCGCCCGACGAACGGATGCAGGTATGGCTGCAGAGCAGGTAGGAGAGAAACCTCTACAAATATGTAGACGTCGCTGGGAGGTGCGCCAAGGCGCGACAAGAGATCCTTTAGAGCGGCCATGGAAGTAAAGTGGCGCCTGCTACACATGGCGGCATATGATATAGCCGGTAGGTTTGGCGAGTACAGTGTCCAATGTAGCTGCTAATTGACAATGAGTGAGTCTAGCTTCTGAAAAGCATCGACGCCAGCTGGCCACTCCCTCTTTGCTCTGACAGGCGTGGATTGGCCACAGAAGCTACTGATTGCGCAATGACATGGGTACACCTCATAGGCTACCACGGTTGTGCACGCCTGAAACCACATGTTTGTGCCCTGAAAGCTAATCTGTTAGTGACCTTTCCGTACCCTGTATAGTATATGCCCGGGTCAGTTGGGGTTCCGAGATATTGTACGCATGAATGCGTACGTCGATACACTGTTACATTGGCTGGTATAGTTCTACTATTTAGGAACTTTCACGCCGCATCGCCCTAAACATCAATCTACATCATTTATTTTGGATGCTCCACTCATCGTCGGTACGTTCAGTGTTCGACACTAATTCAATGGTGCAACTGAAACGAAGTCGAAATAAATCTATCCGCGTCAAGGTGAGTGGCCGAAATGTTACATCGCTGTTAATCGCAACTGGTTATGTTCATAACGGGACATATGTCGTTCCGATAAGGGCTGCACAATTGAGTGTATAAAGGTTCCGCATAGTCTCGGCTGTGCATGCTGACGAGGGTACAATAATCTCGGCTCATTTGCACTGTGACAAGTGTCAAATATGGTTGGAACCCGCTGCCAATCACGAACCGCCATGGTGGTATCCACATTCTAGAATCGCGCTCTGACCCTGGTTCTCAGTTGTCTGAGCAAATCCGATATTTGTACCCGAAGGTGCCTGGTGGAGTGTATAAACGCTTCAGTCGCACAACAGCCCGACAGTTAAGTTCTTGCCACACTAGGGTTTCGGCCTCTCTCACAAACTCGTAGTAGCCATGGTATCGCGAACCAAATCCCAGGCCTCTAAACACGGCCTCCATAGTCCACAAGCCATGATATTGCGTAGGCCACCGGCAGCGGCGCGGCGGGATAACACCACAATCCCGGAATCGCTGAGACAAGCGGCTGCGCTCGCGTGAACTCCAGCAAGGGGATACGAATACGGAGGCCGCAGTGGCCGCGTCGGTTTCCGCATGGGGCTCGCGGCTGCCATGCGTCAAAGATGAGCCCGCGCCGAATGACGCGCTGACTGCTCTACTGAACGCACCATCTTCAACGACTTTTAAGACGGTGTCTCTGTATAACCACATGGGTGTGGGCTGTCAAGTGAATGCGCACAACGCCTTGACGCTCGCCGATAAGAAATATCTGGGGGACGCGGTCGTCGATTTCCATAACATGTACGTTTTTGGATGGCGATACTCCTACAGGTTGATTTGTCGCCACCCTACGGTATGCCGACTTTAACGTTTAAACTTTCATCGTGCGTTGTCCCTTCACACCCGTGCAGCCTCCTGAACATCAGGTACCCAGGGTGTCCGAATGGGAAATCATGGGTGGTCCTTGACAGCAAGGCGTATGCGTATGCCAAGATTCACGGGAAGCCGATTGGGAGATGCACAGGCCCGTCTGTGTTCGAGTACGATTACATCGCCGTCCCGGTATTTGCCGGGTAAGTACGTCTTTTGCCCGCCGCTTTTATAAGCCCGTCTTTCGCCCCAGCCTAACAAAGACCCCTCAATTGTGCAGGGAACACTATTCTTTGATGGTGGTAACCAACCTGAGCGGGATTGTAAGCTAGACGGCCGCACCTGTGGAGTTCATTCTATTCGACAGTGACGGCCTCCATGCCAAGACTACTGATGCCTTTGACGGGACTAAAGCGTGAGAGTTGCTATATACCGCCGTGCAACCCCCTTTCAGCGGTGACGTCCTGCGACCTCATCTAACCTGTTGGCTATATCGTCGTGCAGGTAATTGCACCTCATGTGCAAACGCGATCATCCGGAGGTGGACCAGGAGGCGTCTAGGCAAGCGCTCATCAAGGTCGAAACGATAATCATGGAGGTGAGATGCTGCAAAGATAGTATGGCTCATTCTATCCCACTTGCTTGCTAATACGGGAGCGCGTTCAGATGAACGGAAACATCGTGTCTCGATGGTGCGCAGGGTCACCAGATCCCCAAACAACCTAACAGCTGGGACTGCGGAGTGTACATGTGCCAGTATCTCGAAGCTCTGGTGACATCTGGGTTCATAACCGTGAGAGAGTACATACGTTCAAGGGCGTGAGCGCTGAGAGGTATTGCCACAAGATGCGTGGGGATCTTTGTTCTCATGCCGAGGGAACGCTGATTCCCGAGCTGCAGCGCCAGGATCTCCGCATACCTCTGCAGCCTGTTCCCGTTATCAACAACAACGGATACATATGCGTAGACCCTCCTGTGGACATCCAAAGAGAGCTGCTAGACCACAAGGAGAAGTTCGCTGTGATTGAGCACGACATACAGGTTCTGACGGCCAAGATCGAGTATCTGGACGGCCAAGATCAAGTATCTGGCCATCCGCAAAAGCGTGACGTCGGACGAGCTAGACGCAGGGGCGCGCCAACACCTGGGTGCCGCGGTCGACACGCTGGTGCCGACGGCGACTCCACGCAAGCATGCCAAAGCAAAACCTACCGCGGACGGAAGTGGCCAGATGGAGGTCGCGCAGACTCCTCCGACGTGTGCACTGGCGGCAGTGCCATCAATCTCTCCCTGTCCTGCACCTCACACACTTGCCGTGAAAGATAGCCAAGTTACTGCCGGCGACGCGACACCTGCTGTGGTCAGGCAACAACAGCGCGGCCATCTTGCACTGGCTTTGCACAGCCGCGCTACGACTCCCGTGCCCGCAGCTCCAGGTAACCCCGGAAGGGTCGCAAGCAGCGGTCGAACGGGAGTTATGTGGAATGTAGCGAAGCAGAGGTACTACGTCCGGATCATATCTGCTCGCCGTCAGCAGGTTCGTCTGGGGTCGTACGAGGACAAGGACGAGGCGTCATACGCGTATGCTGCGGGAGCCGTTGTACTTCGCCCGAACTCACGCATCAGCTGCACGGTGGAGCTGTCTGACGGTGACAGGCAGGCTTTAGCCGGCTGCACCGAGGAGATCCTAAGGCTACTCGTGAAGTACTGGCACTGGAACAGATGGAGGGAGTGGAGAGCCGCAATGGCTGGCCTGGACAATGCGCAGCCGGTCGAGACCCGTTCGCGGCAAAAAGGCAGAGTGTCCCGGGCCATTAGTGACGTTGAGGAGGTGGAGGCGACCACGCAGACTACAGAGGACCAGCCTATGGCTGAAGAGCCGGAGGACCCACCAGAGGACTACACGGATGACGATGAGTCCATTGACGATGATGCTGTGTATGAACCGGGAAACGATGATTTTGACGAAGAAGATGACTGGGAGGATGTCAACCGTGCAGAGGGTGATGCCTGAAGCCATGAACAGGGTGGCCATTGGACCACGGGATGTTCTAGTTCTGTGCTCATACTGATAGGACTTAGAGCTGGTGGCGGGTAGGTGGATCTGGAAATGTAAGCATCGCATGTATCACGGTATTGAACTGTCTATTTCGACGAGATGTAAATATACGACAAATAAGGGTACATTCCTGTGGAGACACAAATGTCTCAATCGCTTTGTGACACACAAAAACAGCATAAACTGTAGTGTGTCCCAATTGCGAGTCGCATTTGCGCGACCATTACTGTATTTTTTATTGGTCAGCGTGAAGCGCGCTGACGAATTGTAATCCGACTCGTCAATGTGAACAATTCGCACGTGGCTCGAAATGTCAATGCACCTGGACAGCCTGCAATGCCGATTTCGTGCAGGAAAAAATCCCGCTCGTCGAAACCACACCCCAGCCAAGCGGTTGAAAAAAGGGATGTACAGTCATTTGTGTCACCCAAACAAATGCGCACAACTGTACATCTCGCCTGGTCGCCTAGAGTCGCGATACATTGGTTGTTTGTGACACAACATTTGGCAAATTTACAGGCGCGACTCGGGAAATCGGGGATTGAGACACAAGTGTCCCCGCAGGAATGCACCCTAACACTTAAACTTTGCACATGTAGAAACTGTAACCACAGTTGGGGCTAGTGGCAAATGCTGAAATAAGGGGGTGTATAAGTGGAGTATCGCATCTGACACAAACGAGGACGAGCATCGACGATGTGACAATCGTGGCACGGCGACATTTTACATGTGGAAAGTGTGGCTGACATTTGACTGTAATCAAATTGGCCACTCTAACCGTGACATATGTAGAATTGTGCACGTGGCCAAGAGCTTGAGGCAACTAGTGCGGTGAGAAACTCCGGTATCGGGCATTGCGATATCCACAAGAGTGGTAAGGGGACTGTTGCGAGCGAGGGTAGAACCCCGGGGTGGTTTAGAGCTACGCCATTTCGACCCCGCTGTATATGCGGTCTGAGATGCTGTCTCCGCTAGAGGTCGATATGACTCCCACCGACGGCGGTCGTTCCAAGCGGGCGAAGACTGCGCCGTCATGGTTAGCTGATTCATATGAATACGGGGAGCGGAAGAAGAAAGGACGACGCATACCGGAACCCAAGAGGCGTAAAACAAGCACAGAAAAATGTGGCGGCGGAGGATATGAACGCGGGGCATGACGAAGGTAACATTTGTGACGTGACAAATACGTTGCACTTCATGTACCAGTGCTAATGCATGACTGTGGTGAGATATGCCGTATGCGCACGCAAACTTAACACCCTTCTACCTTCCACGCACCTGGTCACAGAGATTCGAGAAGTGCCGATGCAAATATGCAGCGCCAAGGCTGTCGTGGCCGTCGACGCGGAGGCAGCCTGCACGCCCATCTGTCGCCAGCGCACCACAAGGGGAATTATAGACCGAGGCTGTGAAGGAACGCCTGATAGACGAGTTAATGGAAGGCGAAGATGAGGACGACGAGGAGGGAAACGGTGGTGGTCAGTCGTCAAGCAACGATCCGTGATGTGGCGAGAACGGATCAGAGGAGGAGCAGGCCACAAAAGCGCCACATTCGAGGAAGCAGATAGAAGCAGCCGATGGCCAAGGTCACACGCGAGGAATTTGATGCATTGCGTGGATTCCCAGAATGATACCGCGAAGACACTGGCTCGTCTGGAGGTCACACAAAATTACCATCATCCGCCTTGGCGAAGGCGTAAGCGCAAGCGGGCGTCCACAAGTGCCCGCAAGCCTCGCTCGGCCGGGAAGCTTTGAAGCGGAAACGCCATCAGATGATGACGAAGAATCCACGTGCGATGAGGACGAGTTCGCGGCGAAAGTGGCACGGCACGCGCGTCACGACAAGTCGCCAGTGCTCCAAACCGCCCTTGACATCCTTCCAGCGGAGAAGGCTTGGAAGGTGAGGCCTCGCATAGTGTGTTCTGCTCACCTCGTGGCACAGTTGTTGGATGCACTACATATCTCGTCACCGTGTTCCCCCCCCGCACAACTATTTTCATGGTCGCAGGGTGTTTTGCGACATGGTTAAGGATCATCTGTTTCTAGAAGCCCTGAACGAGAAGATGGACTTCTATCCAAGTCGCAACGCCAAAAACGCCGGCCTATGCCATGTCGTGTCCACCATTTCTCCCAAAACTGCGACTCTGGCGTTAGAACGCGGATAAGCTCGACAGCAGGATCTGAACAAGACCTTGTCCGAGTACAAAACAGGGTTGGCCGGTCGCGCTCGCGGAGTTTTTCTTCCACGAATTGGTCTTTTCCGTGACGACGAAGACATGGCCAGTCCTTGGGCATGTAAGACGGAGCGCACTGGGAGCGTGCCCGAAAGAGATATTGCGTCCCCGTCCCAGACGATGGTGCGTGTTCGCATGTCATATGGCCGGAGCAATTATGGCCGCAACTCTTGTGTCGTGCCATAGTGGACCTGATATGTCTTTGACCCTCCCCTTTTTCCGTACGCGGTATCGTTGTACCCATTTTGCATTCCACGTGCGCAGGGGACCCGACCTTGTGCAAGTGGTACATCAGCAAGGATGGACTGCCCTTTGCATCCGGAGCATTCGCGGCATGTGCCATCGCGGCTTTCGGAGGGAAGCGGAAGGACAAAGAAACAAGTATAAAGCTGTACCACCTGTCGTGGCTCGAGCACCTTGTACGTTTACACCGATGCGAACATATGTTGTAGCCACTTTCGTTCAACTAGCCGTTCTAAATGGGCTTCTCCTGCCTTCGCAGATCACGGACGCCATTATCAACTGGGGAAGCGCAAGGGAAACTGCACAACTCTCCGTGCGAGAACGGCGCTTCTGTGCGGAGGATTCAGAAGCTGG